TTTTTTATTATTTATGTACAGCCTTGCTAAACCTTGCTAAGCATTCAAGAGAGAGAATGTTTGCACCTGTTATCTATATTTTAAAATTGTTTTTTGCGTATGTTCCACTATTTATAATTCTACAAAATTTCAACAGTTTATAGCCAAGACTATTTGGATAGTAAAAAGCAAAAAAACAAAAATTTCATTCCCAAGTGCCCACGAACCTGCATCTTTACCTTAAACTAGCAGTTTTCAAGAAGAATTTGAAAATATTAGTTAGTATGTTCAATTAAAACAAACGAATCTTAAAAATATAAAGAAATTGGATTTAAAGTTTTCAAGTAGACAAACAGGAATAACAATCTTCATAATAGGCACAAAACTGAGGGATTAAATCAAAGCAATTACACTAGCGCTTTAACGAAAAAAAAGTTAATTACAGAGGCTTGTCGACGTATCCATGATTTGCAACACATGTTTTTTTTTAAATATGATTAATTACAAATAAAAAAGCTTAATTATAAGTAATTGCAAGAGGTAGGAAATTGATCTGGTCATCTGAATACTTTTAATATCAAGGATTTGGTCCGATTTAAAGCTCTTGTACGTTTTTATTTTGACCTTTGCTGATATACTCTAGTTGACAATGTTAGAATGAAATATGTGTGATATTGTCAATTAAGTTTACACATTAAAAAAGACAGTTGACGACCAATATTGATAATTCGCCATTTTTGTGTGAAAACAGTTTAATTGCTTGAAACTTTGATCTCCACTGATTCACTTAAAAGGTATTTTCCTATCTGGATAGAGACAATAATGACTCACCAAATTACAAGGAATGTAATTGTAGCGCATACTTCATATAAGCGGATTTTAAAATGTTTATCTCAACATAATGAACATACTATTGTGAACACTATGTTGTGTTCGGGAACTGTGACTCGCCTGGCTGATAACACTTACACGTAGAGATACCGGTTTCGACCCAAAGGAATATACATTAGTTCATTACAAATAGCCTCGCCTCGCTGCCCACTTTTCTCTCCTTCCGTCTCTTAAAAATATTAGAAACACATGTTTTGCGCAAGCGTAGAACTCCAGATGAAAAAAATGGCTGACCACACATGTATTGCTGCAGAGGTGAGGTTCGAGGTAGATTTATGCGTGTTTCGATGAATTTCGTAATTGTTACCGACAAACAATCGTTGTTTCTTTGCATACTTTGCATATTGTCTTGTTTGTAGCTGTTGTCTTGTTGCGTAACTTTGCGTTCGATGGCCGACTGGTTATTTAGTTTCTCGGACTTGAAACTTGAAGATTACACCCGTAGGATGCGTACCTTGACAGAACTTGCTGTTAGTGTTAGTTTGTTGACACATGTTAACCCGAAGATTTCAGAACGCACTCGCATTTATCTGTTTCATGTGTTTTTGTAATGTCATTCTTGTCATTTCGTGATGCCATTCAAGTCGGCCAATTTTCGTGTGAGTTACAGCATTTTTAGTATCTCCTACTTTGGTCTACGATATCTATGTCTATGAATACATAGTGAACACATTTATAGCAGTATTTGTCATTATTTTGATTTTTCGCAGAATTTATGATTTTTTGTCTATGAAGGTCAAATGTCGGTGTTGGCATCGACAGTGTTGTGTGGACGTTTCGTAGTTTTTTGTGGACATTGCGTTTAAAAACGTTGTATACTCACGCAATTAACGAATTGAAGGCATTTAATATTCATCAGGAAGCTGCATATGTTTTGTCGCAATTGTAGAGCTTATTTAAAGATAGACAGTACTGATAAAACATTGTTTTATGTCATTATTTGAAGCTTGGAAGGCAGAGCACTTCCTGTTGCCCAGTCACTTTAACCCTTAGAACAGCTTACTTGAACAAACACAACATTTAGCATACCTTAAACCAAAAGGGTATTTTCATAGAGATTTAAAAGGGAAAAATTAGGTTCCGCCACTAAACCCTGGTTTGTTTGATTACAAGCTACATTAGATAAAACATAAACAAACTCAAGGTCACCTCCCCACTTAGTTTTTGATATTTTTTATTCAATATACACAAGTCGCAAATTACTAGTATTTTGTATTGCTGCATCTAACAATAGCTAGTGTTTACCAGTACTGTCAATCTTTAACCAAGAAAAAAAAGAAAATAAATTAGGATTAAACTAATACTACTCCCTGTCACAATCCTTCTATCCTCATTTCCAGACCAGGGATAGAGGGACTACGTCCCTGTGTACATCTCGCATTACCCAGTATCTTGCATTATTTGATAAAATAATAAACATCCCCTTATGCTAGTCACATCATTTTATTTGATTAAATAGTTAAGCCCCCAAACAAACGCATCTGACCAATGCTCATCTGTTCTATAGTAGTCAGTTACTATTCAATTCCTGTTATTGTCTTATTAAAAATCTGGTAATACACTGCTCGAGTGGTACTACTTATACATGACTGTGACCTATGCTATTTTTTTACTATTTAATTTCAAGGTCTGTAAGAAGTTTGGTGTCGGTCCCACACAGTTGAAAGAAGAACAACAATTGGCTATAAAGTATCTTTTAGGTAAAAATGATGTACTTGCAATTCTCCCAACTGGATATGGGAAATGTTTTCAATGTTATAAGTACCAACTGATGGAGCAATCATGATTGTATGACATTTGGTGTCCCTGATAAAAGGCCATGTATGTAACCAATAAAATGATTTTAGTAGAATTCTACTTTACTTCTCCCTCAAAAAAAATAATTCAATTTATTAATAATGTTTGTATTGTAGTTAATGAAGTTTGTATCAAATGATGAAAACAAATTAATGTTAATGTGCTCCTTTCTTTTCTTTAGATATCTTTCATCAGAAATTGTGGTTTGTCAGCAGCAACAATAACAGAAATAAATCTTGATGCTGACCTGCCAAAATATATTTTTGGTCGCCAAAGGCTTACCTAAAGAATATACAAAATATTTAAATATTAAAGGGAAGACATGATTATTTTATTAGTGGTTGATGAAGTTCATACAGTTCCAAAGTGGTAAGTATATCGCTCATTAACAGCACATTGTACCACAGCGTTTTAGAATTTGTTGTTTAAAACCATAACCATCGAATATGAGATCAAAGCATAGGCATCATCAAATATGCTACAAATTAAAGCGGGAGCATTGTCACCTGTGCACATGCAGGAATTGAGGCTCAACACGTTAAAAATTGTGAAGGCTCATGGGTAGATGCTTATTTGTAAACAATGACACGCTATGGCCATCTGCCATGCGCAGGTGATGACTCTCCACTTTTAACTACACGTATAAATGATTTTCCCGAAACTGCCCAATTTGTGACAGTGATGGTAAAAATTATTTAAATAATGCTTTACAAAAATTTGTTCACACTCCTTCCAAGTTCAAATCCTCAAGCCCTAACACAGAGGAAAAATGAATTATTCATAAAATAAGTTACACATGTTGAGTATCTTCATTTTTGCTCTTTACAGGGGAAAGCCGACTATTGCTCAAAGTAACAAAGGCAGGCGCAAAAAGCAGGAATGTGCACTCAGAGAGTATTTTTCCCATTTGGGAGAACTATGATCCTATTTTCCTGAAGTGCAAGTACTGGCATTGACAGCAACAGCATCCAAATTGTTACAGTCACAGATCAAGGACAGTCTCTCCATTTCAGACTGTAAAAATATAAATGTGTGTCCCAATAAGGCTAATGTCAGATACGGTGTTTTGAAAATTGTACTTGATATCCCCTCAACTTTTTACTGTATGGTTGATAAGTTGAGAGAGGAAACTGACCAGTTTCCACGTACACTTGTCTACTGTCCATCACTTGATTATACATCTAGATTATATGATTACTTTAAATGGGAATATATCCTGCCTCAATTTCTTACATTGGAATGTACCACAGCGAAACTGATTCTGTGATATAAGAGTCTCACTTAAAAGAAATTATGAAAGTGTCTCATTCAGAGTTGCATATTATTTTTTGTACAACAGCTCTTAGAATGGGTATTAATTGATATGAGAAATTTTCATCATGTTATTCATTATGGTACTTCATTTGATTTAGAATCGTATGTACAGGAATCAGGGAGAGTTGGGAGAGATGACAAACCACCTCATTCTGTTATTTTGTATCATACTTAAGAAACACAAATGTATGCAGACGAGTGAAACTTTATGAAGATTTTGCTTCAAGTCTGGAAATAAATCAATTGAAAGACAAAGTATTATATCACAGTTGTGATATTTGTGCACCTAAGTGTTCATTTGGACATTGCAAAGATGAGAGTAGTTATATTGAAAGACAGTCTTATTCATTACTTTGCTGATACAGATAGTGATAGCAGTGACAGTGTATAGTCTGATGCAATAATTGAGAATAGCTCATCAAGCACTGGTACAGAGGACTGAATGTTCCATTGATAATAGCATGGTGATAGCAGCGTAAAGTTGGTATAATCAGATTGGCATTGTATTTGTATTTTATTTGTTATCCAACAGATTCAAACACATATCTCAGAATATGTGAAAATTCTTATTTTGGGGATATTTTAATCTAATGTTGATACGATGCCAAGTAGATTTTGGCAAACTTCAATAATAAATAACTAATTAAATTTGTAAAACCTTTTTTCACCCATTTTTCCTCAGTATGAGTTAGACTACCAGTGTCATATTTTTGTTAAAGTTGCACAGAAATTGTAGTTAAAAGCTTTATCTTGCATATGAAATATTACCTGTAGTACCAAATTTTCTTTATTAGATCTGGTTCCATGTTGGGAAAACATGTACAGAAACATCAGTTACAGTTTTTTAATAAATTATTAACAATTGCCAATGTGTCTTAATTGCTGTGAAAACAGTTTTATATTTTGTTCCCTATACACATTTAGAACTATAAAACCATGTACTTAGGGTGATCCCTGTAGACAATACAACTGAATTTTATTTTTTGACCAAAAAATTGATTCTAACAGGCTAAAAACAATCATATCAGTTTTGCTGGGCACAGCCAACCATTTTTCAATCCAATAATTTCATCTGTATTCCGGATCTTCTTTCTGGTGTATCCACTAGCAAGATTTCCAGCTTTATTAAAAAACTCATCTTTTAAAATCGATATAGTAGCTAACAAACAGAAACAATCTGAAACTAGAAGAAACAAAATTAATAATTAGTTCACTTGTATTTACAGCTCCTATTAACGTCACGATAACTTATTCAATATGGCGACAAACACGGGGATTTTGCTGTAGTTTCCCCTTTTCCGCGGTTTGGTCGTGAAATCGACCAATTTATAACCATCGTCCTCAAAATAATTGATGAAAATGTTTCAGAACCCATCGACAGTACAAAATTGAGGCGAAAATAATGAAAAACGGCTGTTACGGCTCGACCTGAATTCCGGTCGGTAAAAGGTACCTCCATGAATAGGGTAACTCGCATGGGATGGAACTGTATCTCTCTGGTTTCGCGTTAACACCACGACGAACGAAACACCCGACAGCGAAACCAAGCGAGCTACAGAACTGCAGCTAACCTCCGACGCAAAATAACAAGCGTGATTGCTTGAGATCCATCATTGAATAAATACTAACAAAATTGCTTCAATTTTCACAATATCATATCATACACACACTGTCAGTTGACTAAAGTTGTCTCTCGTTTTTTTTACCAAGAAACGAATCTATAAATACATAATATACTTACCAATAACAACTCCGAAATCTTCACGCTGACGAAAAACAAAATAGCGACCATAACAAAAACAATTGCACTCGCGTAATCTTGCACATGTTACAATGAATTTGATTGGCTGCTGTTTTTCTCGTAAATTGTGAGACCGGGACGAGAGTTCCTATGCTGGTTGTCTAGATCCAGGTGGCTTTCACAAACAATAATTGCAGAAAAATAATTGTAACATCAAAAAATAATTAAAATAATTAATAATTATAGTAAATAATTAAAATAAATAATAATTATAGTAATTATATAAAAAAATAAGCCAACAAGGATCTTATTTTAATCACAGATTGCGTACTGAGTGAAGATAAAAAAGAATTTACAGTTACCATTGAATATCGTGTATATTGTTTTCAGTACTACTAGTTCCATACGATAAAGATGAATAGCACCAATGATATAATAACAATTAGTATATTATCTATATATAATGTTCACAGTTTTCAATTTATATAAGTTGATTGGGACACGAAGGTTAGCAACTGTTAACCCCTTAAACCGTTTCTAATTGATGAATATAGCCCAAATGATATAGATATATAGAAAAAGTTGTCATATTGTCTGTCAAAAATTGAGAAATATATAATCCCGTGAATCGTAGTATATTCAATTTTATTCGAGACTTGAGACAATAACCTTGCAGTCATTGGCGATCCAGGTTTTAACGCGTCTCGTTCATACAGAAGGCTCCTATAGAATAAAGAGTACAACGATTAGTAAACACACCATTTACTTTGAACACTACCTCCAAGCTATAAAAAATACTTTGCATGATCTTTAAACGTTTTTGCTTAGCGTAGAGGATCACGTGCGTGCATGATCGACGCTGCGCATCGGACGGCGCACTCTATTCGCGCTTTCGACATGAAATGCGGTATCACCCAACACACTGACGGTGTCTAATGAATAAAAGCGGTCAAAGGACAAACTGCTCTCTGATTTCGTAGCCAATATTGCCTGATTGTAAGTAGTTTCGCGGCATTGGTGTGCCATTGTACACTCGATTAGTGCGACTTTCACACCATTTTACATAGAATTGACGATTCATTCAACGCTGTGGTTTTGTACCTTGCAAGTAGTTGATATTCCATTTCCGGTGACTTCAATACGGAATGAATGAGCATCAAGTTAAACAAATCTCTCTGGGTAAAAACAGACAACGTACCTTACCATCAAATATTCAATTTTGTGTGCGACTATGGAAAATATTTAATATTAAAAATTATGCTAATTCAATAAATCATTGATAAAAGGCCTGAAACCTGAAGAAGGCCAGATACTACTAAATCAGCCTCATTATGTGCACCAGTCCTTCCACTTCCCTTCAGCATTGACCCAATGTATTTCAACGCTGTCAACTCAGTATGTAACCTACCGAACATTAGTACAAACTTATTCACCCCATATTTATTTCTGGCCAGTGTCACATTATTTGTTTTGCCAATGTGTAAAATGGTGGCAACACTGTGTGTTTGATCTCACAGAAGTGGCAGCAAAGCATTGATGCTGGTCGCATTGATGAATCATATTCAAGTCTGATTTCTTCTTGGAAAAGACTGGGGGATGTTAATATGACTCTGGAGGATCAGAAACCTTTTTTATCCGATTCTTTGTAATAACACAGGGCAAAGTACAAGCTTTGTTTTAATTCTCTAAACATGGCTGCTGGAAAAATGAAATGCTTGTGCCGTGGATCTGTTTGGTGTTGTTATTGATGGGTTGCAGTCTGTGTTGTCAAGAGCAGATGACACACACCTCTGTCTTCCACATATTGGTTTACAACATTCTCACCCAGCTGTCTAGATATTTCCAACAATCTGCCATACGATATGCTGATTTCATTCTCATGTGTTCCATCTACTTGGAGTAACAGTTGTACTGTACCTGTTTCGCTGTGGCCACATCTGACTGCACAATACCATGGTCCAGATGGGACACTATGTCCACCCCATGCTCAATACTGCAAACAAAGTGCAGAAGAGTTCGGGAAATGACTTCGTTTTCAATCTCTTTCTGGAACACCTGACTGAATTTTGAGCCAACACTCTTTGCCAGATGATACCAGATGATTAACTTTCTCGTATTCATTAGCATCAGACAGAATTTACATCTTTTCTGAATGCTAAAAGAACATCTCGCCCTTCAAGCTCAGGGATCCTAAAGAGTAACTGATCCTTTAACCTAGTGAATTCCACATTTAGTTGTTGTATCTGACACATTTATAATGAGGCTAGATCAGCAAGTCTAAATATCACATGTGTTGTTTATGTACCAGCAAACTTGCTAACTTTCTTGCTATAATATAGATGACATACTCGAAATGAAAACGTTTTTCCCATTGACTACTGTAATTATCCTCTTTATCGCATTGAGATGTGATCTCTCCAAGTAGTATAAATCTGTCAAGCATTGATGGCGGTACTTCAGTTCTTGGGCAACGACAACACCAGAACTTAACTTTGCTAGAAACTGTCCATTGTTTAGGAACCTGAACACACTTTTATACATTGATTAACCCTTCCATTTACCTGCACGGTCATTTTGCATTTTAAATTTCATATTTTATATTCTTCTTCACATAAGAAGCACTGTATTTGTGTAGGCTCGGAGATCCTGCCCACGTTTCTCCTTTTGCGCCCGATGTACTGGCGTAACTGCTCTTTTCTATGATTTTGTCAGTTCTGTATTATTGAACAAACGTTGGGAGATGTTGTGATATCTTGTTTTATTTCGTATTAATGTGATTTCCATTCCCTGTCCTTCATCTTGCCGTGCTGGATTGAATGGTATCGAGATATAATTGAAAGCACCACACAATAGAAAACCTTGTGCTATTTTACTACATTCAGCATAGTCCTGTTTTCCCTTGAATGAGCTGAAAGGTGAAATCAATGTTTCATAACTTTTGTCGAACTGACAAAGGCAGCATTTACTCCAGTCAGTGTTTTGTTTTGGCATTGAGAGCAAGTCTTTGTAGTGGTGTAAGCCGGGCCGGGTTTAATCTTTTTACCACCCTTGGTCACTTCCACAAAAGTTGAGAAATGGCAGCCGTATCGGATTTATTGATGGCCAGCACTTGTTCTGAAAAAGTTCCTTACAGAAAATATTAATACCAAATGTCACCATATCAACTGAACAATTCAGACAAATAACGAAATTTAGCTGCTCCACTATCTCCAATTAATAGACAGACATTAGCCTAATACCAAGGCTGTTCACAGTCAGGCCTTCCTAGATTAAACATAGTGTATCTCTCACTAAAACAATTATTCAACTCCAGTGTATTGTTTACCTCTATTGTGTGACAATCAATATAACCATATAACGGCAACTGTTAACAAATGTTTAACCGATAGGACCCAAGGCTATTTTTAAAATACAAATGACGAGTGCAAATTCCATCTTGTACAGCTATTATAATTGTTTAACTGTGTCGTGAAAATAACTTCCCAATTGTTCGCTAAAATGTTGTGTCACGAAAATTAAGACAGCGTGTAATACAGGCGAGGGTTTTGGAAGAGTGATTCGGGAATAAATCCTCATTTCGAAGAAGTTTCAAGGCATGGTCCTGAAACCTAATATTTTATGACAGTTCTAAAGTTAGACATTATGCAGGTGCACCGCCTGTTTGATTTTATACTTTACTTTAATAGCCTTGCAACGATATGCAACGGAGGTTGTATGAGTTTGAACATTTGTAACACCATACTTCTCTAAGATACTCATATACAGTTTCGCCAATGACAGGCAGACAGACGTGTGTTTTTCAAACGACATGTTCCTAACTTATTGTTCCGTGGTCACTTGGGAAATCTACATTAACCCTTATGTTTCTGTTTATACGAAGTGATCTGTCATGTTATATTAC